CGGCTGAGGAGCGGGGCGGGCTGCCGGGAGCGGGGGAGAGGCGGCACGTCCCCGTCCGGGGCCGCCGGTTCCCCGCACGGGTCAGGCTGAGGTCCGTTGTCCGTCCAGGCGCTACCGGCCTCGGCTCGGTTTCTCCGGGCTCCCGGAAAGCGGCTTTCAGGGTAATGCTATTAACTGGTGATGGAGAAAGCTGCTCTGCGGAAAACACCGCTCTTACCAACCGCGGGGGGAACCTGCGAACTGTGAGGCTCGTAACGCTTGTTAACAGCTGGTGGTCGGAGAAATTCCTGGTGGAAGGTGCTGTCGGCGACAGGAGCAGTCGTGGGTCTGACGGGGCATTTGCTCTGCGTGTCCCACTTCTCTCCAGAGCCCTCTCTGAGGGATGCGTGTGGTGAAGGGGAGACCCGTCCCTGCACGCCGGGTCCTGAGCACCTCCTGTGTTAGAGCAGCCTCCTGCCTCCCTCCCTTCTCCCTCTCACCAAAACTCCCTTCGAACTGATTTCCCACCTTTCTCCCTCTAAGATCAGGAGGTGGTTCAGAAAGGGTTGGAATGAAATTCCCCCCCTTTGGGGGGGACTTAATTCTTTGAAGAAGATAAAAAGTTTAGGCTTCCAGAACTGACTTGTAGGTGATTAATTTAGTGAGTGTTTATTAAATCATAAATCACTGTGATTTATGATTTGATGACTTTTGAATCCATATAAATATCCTATTTCTTTAGCTCTGTTATCATAGTTACCTCTCAGCTTCTTATAAAGCTGGACTTCATGCTGTGCTTTGCATGAAAACTTTGGATTTGTGTTCTGAAAAATCATTTCAGGCATGGTCATGTTAAAAACAAATAGCAAATAAAGCAAACGTATAGGTCTGTGTGAAAGGCGAGACAGGGTAGGCAAAGTCTTTTTAAAACAAAAAGTCACTTCATACACCTCAGAGTTTTTTGGTGGTAAATAATCCCTATTTACAGCGTGGACGTGGTAACTGGCAAGAGCAAGACAAACTTATCTGTGACTGCACACAGCAAAGGCAAGCCTGTGGTGTCAGCCAGGTATCTATGCAAGAATTAGATATGCTGATGAAATAGAGCTTACTAGGAGCATTGCTTCTGGAGTGGATGAAATCAAAACTTTAGGACTGGAGCTTATCATAGACCTGTAAATGTGTCACGCGGTGAGCAAAGGCAAAGTAACTTAAGGAAGCTGGAGGCTGGATTTAGCCAAACAAATGGGACCAGGTGTCTGTAAGACTTGTATTGGGGCAGTCTGTCTTGCTGTGGCTTTGCTGCTATTGTATAAATTGAAGCTGGCTAGATGGAAAGTAGCTCAGGCTTCTCCTTCTCATGCTTTTATATAGAGGGACTATTGAGCTGACTAAAAAATATTTAGAAGAGTTTTGGGGTTTTTTTTGTTGTTTGGTTGTTTTTTTTTTGCATATTTTACGATGACCCTAATTTAGGCTGAACGGATGCTAGGTAGGATGCAAGGGACCTTTTCAAGTCCAGTCTTCTGATTCTGCTGGGAAATAAGTCTCTTGTTTGTTTTGTCTTCTAGTTGCTTCAAATTGCCACGTGAGAAGAAGAACCAAGTCTAGGAGGAGGGTCTTTGCTTAAAGTTGTTACTGGAAAAATTGGCTTTTAGCACTTATTGAACTTCAAGTCCACTATAGCAGTGGTAGTCCTGGAAGCTGAAGGCAGCAATTATGTTTCCTGTTGCCTTCTCTTTCCGCCTTCTCTTTCCACCTTCTTTGCAGGCTACACAAATCGATCTCCGGGGCTTTCCTGCTCTGTGCTGTATTCCAAGCCGCTGATTGACTCTTCTGCTGATAGGCCTTTGAAAAATTTCACTCTTGTTTTAACTTTCTTCCTATAAATTGCTGTTTTTATTGAATGTCTTTGTCCAGCTTACCTCCTGCAAGGTGTACTATTCACTTTTCAGATCATGATTTGCTATTTCATACCGTTATCAAAATACTACCCTTTTTAATAGATGATACTTAATGATGTATGCCATGATTTGTCTAGCAGTTGAACAAATAGATCGGTAGAGAAGAACAGCGTAATTTCTGGATCTGTCTTGAGCTACAGTATAAGAACTTGAAGGCTACAGATATAAGAATGACTGAACTGGTATTGTGAACCAGTTGGGAGCCTACTTTTGAATGTAAGGTAGAATCCCATGTGTTAAGTCAGGAGATTAGGTAGTGCAGCACTTGCGCTCTGTATTTAATGGCTTCTGAATTATGTGACAGTAAATGACATCACTACAGCTCTATTTTAGTCTCTTGATGGAGGTTCTATCTATAGCAAAAATGCTCTAAAGACCTATATTGTATGCCTATCTTTTGATAATCCTCAGTTAAAAAGTATTACAGGCACTTCCAGCTGCCTATTGGGTGGAACATAAAAGCTTTAGAAACAAGCAATACAATGTAATAGTTTGTGGTCCTGAAGTTTTACTCTGGAAGTGTGAAACTGTAGTGTGTCCTCACTAAGGTACAAAGCACATGATTCTAGGCAAAGTCTCTGAGGCAAGCTCTGTTAGCTTAAATGAGAAAATTACTGCATGGCTTTCTTCTATCAAAGAGATTAAAAGGAAGCTAAAGGATGCAAAGAAACGGTGAGTGTGCTGATGAACAGCTAGCTTTGCATGTTGACTGCAAAATTAAAGTTTCAGGTGAGTTTGGTTTGTTACCTCTCAAGATGCAGTCATAATCAAAGTCCAGGAAAAGAATACAAAGACTATTCTTCAGTGAAAGAGCAGCCCTATGACATGGGGAAGCAAAACATTTTGTCTGAATTACTAGAAGAGCGAGAAGAGTTGTGGTTTGCTGTTCTCCTGCCCTATGTGACACTTAATGTAAATGTACATACATGCAAGAAAATCCACGTAGTGTTTCTGACTAGTGACCTGGAATTAAATAGTGTTTAAGGTAAAACAACTATTTTTGAAGTACCAGTGTTGTGCTTTGGCATATGCTGTTGGGTCTCGGCTCAGTTTCAGGTGTGATATTTTCAAAATTAGTTTTTCTTGTGGAAATAAAAGCATTGATGTTGTTTACAAAGGTGATATGAGTGCATGGGGCTGCACAGGTGCTGAACAGTTCAAGTTTGAAGCTAGTGTTTGATGCTTCAGTGAAGCCCCAGTGAAGATGAGTAGCTTAGGCTTCTTGGTCCCATTATTATCTTCTGGTACATCAAATCTTCATCTTCTAGGGTTGATTTGTGAAGGGGAAGGAGACAAATCAACCATTCACTAACAGAATGTTATATAATCCTTCCTTCCCTTTCCTTGAGAATGCTTGAATTTGGTTCTACACTGTATATTCAAAATACTCTCATTGTTTTAATTTAGTCCTGAACGGGTACTAACAATAGTACAAACATTGCTCTGTAGGCACAGATGGAGTTCCCATATGTTGAGAGTAACATTAAAATCATTAACATAGGAGATATCATGCACCCCACCCCTTTAGTGCAGACAGCTTTCCGTGCAAATAGCTGGTAACTATTCAAGGTAGATATAATAGCGCATTGTGTATAAGCATGGTTGTATATTGGCAACCTGGTGTAGTGGAAGGTGTCCCTGCCCATGGCAGGGGGGTTGGAACTAGATGGTCTTTAAAGTCCCTTCCAACCCAAACCATTCTATGATTGTATGAACATTGTAAAGTATTCTTGTATCACAGCCTGAAGTATAAGCATACGTAACTTGCTGGAAAGCTTATTCCAGGTCGTGGAGTACTTGGCAACCTCCTGGAAATGGCTGAGATTCTTAAGCGTGTTATATAGGGTCTGAAGACCTTGCTACAAGAATTTGATGCTTCTGGTAAGGTTCAATGTGGGCAGGATTTAGTCCATACTGACCACTGGAGATGAAAAGGGGTGTGCGTGTGTGTGAAGAAACATGCTCCCTTTGGAACTACTTATGAAGTAAAAGGGTACTGGTGTAAGGTAAGGAACAACCATTGTGCAAGGCAGGTCAGCCTGTCTGGATTTAAACTTTCATATATAGATCAAAAAGTCGAGGTTAAAGACTGAATCTTGCATTGTTTTTTGAACACTTGCTTTCACAGCTCTTGAGCGTATTTGTAGTATGTGCCCCACCTAACTTCCTTCAGCTGTTCTCCCTGCTGCAGAGTATTTCCCTTTCCTGTGTGACTTTTCCTCTCCCCATTCTGTTTCCACAGCAATCAGGACTTTATGAGTATAAAATCTTCGGTGGTCTTGCTGACTGTCCCCCAAAACTGTGTGCAGATGTCTATATGGACCTAGATTTCAGAAAACAATGGGATCAGTATGTTAAAGGTAAGCTCATCTAGGCAGTTTAAAAGCAAGCTTTATGTCCACATTGACTCTTCCCACTAAAACTTTCTTCAAAGGTATTTTAAAGTTGCTGCATCCAAAGACTTTGGGCCAGACTTAAGTAGCTTTTTGGATAAGGTTGCACTCTGCACGTATACAAGTAAAGACTGACATGGAACAGCCAATATCTCATCACCACATAGCTTTCTTCTGGAATGAATTCTTTCCACGTTGTTTAAAGCATATAATTGGCATCACTTGTTCTGCTGGAGCATCTTGTAGCTTCTAGTTGTTGTAACTCCTAGGTTAAATTTTAGATGTTCTGGGGCGAAATGGAGAGGGTACCTTTTGTGCATCTTTGCATGTTGTGCTGGAGCAGTGCAATCATAGAATACCAGGTTGGAAGGGACCTCAAGGATCATCTGGTCCACCCTTTCTTGGCAAAAGCACTGTCTAGACAAGATGGCATAGCACCCTGTCCAGCTGAATCTTAAAAGTGTCCAATGTTAGGGAATTCACCACTTCCCTGGGGAGATTATTCCAATGGCTGATTGTTCCCATTGTAAAAATTTTCCTCTGACTTGCACCAGTTTGATGCATGATGGCATGTCTTTTCCTGAAAGCATTGGTTGTTCTTGGCACCTTTTACAATCAGAAATGGGTATATTGAGAGAATAGTTGGTGACTTCGGGCTTTTACAGAGAAAAGAATAACTAATTTAGTTGTGTTTATTTAATGTTGTCTTTGAAAAGGGGAGTTGAACCTGGATATCCCTATGATGTTAAAACATCTTAAGTCAGCAGTGACAAGGCAAGGATTCAGCTGATGTAGGCATCCAGTAATCCATTTATTTTAAAGATGGGGAGCCTTTTCCTTTTAAGCCTGTGCTTAAAATCGGTTCAGGCCAGTAAGACTGAAACATGCTCAAAGTGTTTTGCTGAACAAAGAACAGTGTTAACGAGCACAACATTTAACAGTTCTGTGTTTTTTAAGTTTAGGACAGCTCTATGGGGAACGGCTACTGGTAATGCCTTTGGCTGTATTGATAGAGAGAACCACGTTTGACTCGTGTCGGTACTTGGTCAAGCTTAAGCAGCTATGTCTTCATTAGTACGTGCTACTTCTCAAAATGGGCAATAGCTTTCTTGTAGCAAAGGCCACTTTGCCATTAACGAAAGAAAAAAGCTGGAGTGGGACTCAACGTTATCATATTGGATGTAAAAATACTATGTTATCTTGAGTTACTTCAGCAGTCTTTCATTTAAGTGCATTTAGGAGAACTGAATCCTTCTTAAAAAAACACTTTTTTTTTTTTTGGTAATGCCTTCATAGAGAAAAGAAAGGAAGCAGTTGGGGGAAGCTACACCCTTAAACTAAAAACTAGATAATGTTGCAGAGTTGGCGTTTATATCCTTGCTGACCGTGATATGTTAATCTGTGAATTTATACTTGTGCTGGTACTTCAAGTCCAGCATTTCACACAAGTTAACTCTTGAAGGGCATAAATATAATGTTAATGCTTTCCTTTTAGCTTAAAATTTGACACAAGCTCTCACATTCTTTAGAACTGTACATATGATGAAATACCACTAGCCAACATTTTCAATGTAAACAATATAAGCTTTGTTTTTCTCCTTTCACATTTAGGGAGAAAACCCAGAAAACTTCCATTCAGAGCCTTCTCGCTCTTCGTTTTACTGTTTTTATTCCTTGTTGCTCTTACAGTTATGCAATAATGGCAGTCCAAAGAAGAGTTTTCTGCTGAACTGCTGGCTGGTATTGAAATAAAAACATGACCAGAGTAGAAGTAGCTGCCTTTTTAGTTGAAAAGGTAACGGCTCCTGCACTAAGCATAAGAGGAGCTAATCTCTATCCTCTAGTTCTGTTCAACAAAACTCTTTATGAAGGCCTGACTGGAGGCAGATGTGGACAGGATTCCTGTGAGTACTTCAGAAGGTCAGGCTTTGATCTGTTCTTGCCAAGGATTTGCCTGAGGCCTCAGAAATTTTGGTATCTGTCTGCTACTATTGTTGCATTGCTGTTAGTACCCTGGCTATTTCCAAAGCAGGCTCCTGGACATCTACGAGATGTGGACATCCTGAGGCCTGGTCTGCAGGGAAGCTGTGACTAAACTGTAGAATAGTGACTGAGGTACCATATGCTTCTGTGGCATGGTACAAAATGGTTGGGCCTGAGCAATATTAAAACTTGCTACTCCTGATTGCAACAGCATCCTGATTGAGATCATACTTCCTAACAATTTAATGGTAATAATTGACTGCTAAAGCAGCAAATGCAGCTGTGACTGTTATGAATAAAACGGACTTGAGATCTGTTGTAGTAATGCTAAGTGAAGTCTGGTTATTGATTAAAATGCATTGTATTCTGCTTTGATCAGAAGCTGTCCACTAGTATTGACAGACTAAAGTGAATACAGGTGGGACGTGACTTACCTATTGCGTGCTTTTTCTGTGTTTGCAAAGATACAAAGGTAGATGAGTTAGTAGCTACCAATTGCATCGAGGTCTTTTAAAATAGTGTCTTAATCCCTTTGAAAAAGGAAAGCTCTGCAGTTAGAAATGAAAGTAAAGCTAATAAACCAATGCTCCAGTGACCTCTGGTGGATAGCATAATGCTGTAGCTTATTACAACACTGGGAATATTGTGCATCCAATACTGTTCCAACCTGGAGAAGAGGAGAAGCTGTTTTCGTGGGTGACAGCTGACTTGCAGGGCATACTAAGAGAAGCCTAGTTTGAAACATGTTATATAGGGAAAGAATCTCCCATCTGTGGCACTCTTCTTGCCTTAGCAATGAGATTATCAGTCTGTTCTAGCCTTATTTTTTAAAACTACTGAAAGTGATGTGGCAGACTGTGTGCGTTAACTCTGAAGGATATACAGCACCTCAGGCAGAAGTCTGCTCTAAAGGAGGAACAGACCACTCTTGACTGTTAATGTGAACCATCTCTCTGGATCACACCCTTTTTAACTGCACCCATGTAATGACCAGTCCCTGAGCAGACAGGAATTTACCCTGGCTCAGCCCTATGGCTTGTCAGGTCCATTGCCCTGATAATGGCAGTTATTGTCTCAAGGGAAGAAGCCATACAGTAGACAGTTTTTCAAACTCAGTTATGTAGTTTGACTTGAACAAATTTTTATCCTTCATGCCACACTAGTACCTGACTGAGTCACTGCTATGTTTTAGGGACTGTT